TAACACCTACAATTTTAAACATTCTAACAGTTACTAGACTGAGCAGAATTACAGAAATTCAAGATTCCTCTTGACAAATAAATATAACCTGTATTAAACATCTCAACGCCAAGAGAATTGGCCAAGGACCAGCTGGAAGAAAGGATCCTTAACTGTGAACCTAAGTTGTAATCCAAGGTTGTAAAATACAGTTGTTCTTTATTTTCTTATAACAGTTCAATATTTGACAGTTGTTAGAATGAGTAAAATTACAGAAATTCAAGATACCTTTTGACAAATTGAAGATTTTTTTTTTATGTTGTTTAACAGCAGATTTTAACTATTCTATCATCATCTAAGAAAGGTAGGCCTTTAATAATTTTAAAACAAATCTAAAGATCATAATATTCCACTATTGATTTACTTCTTAAAATTACACAATTCCAGCAGGAAACAAACCATTCACAGTTATCTCCCATTTTATCTTTCAATTTATTACAAATGTCATTCAAGGTCATGAAGAATCGGACTAAAAAGTCAAGGCGACGGTTTAAACTTAAGGTTTTTGGAATTATGAAAGCTCAATGCAAAAGACAAGGACTATAGCATCAAGAAGTAAGAGCCATACTTGTTTAAACAATCTCAAACTGTAAACAATCTTAGTATACTGACTAACAAAATGACCTTTTCTTTAGAACAACAAACCATTAGCAGTTATCTCCCATTTTTTATGATAGGAAAGAAGCACAACTGACAAATTTATTCAAGGTCATAGAGAAGATTGTTATTACAAGACCACAATTTATTCACCAATACTGTCACAATGAAAATTCCTTTACCTATATCTAATTCATTGTGTTACATCACTGTATCACTGTATAAGAGGTGTCTGTAATTTCGTACTTGTGTTCAAAATAAACAGTAAAATGTACTATGTAGATGTGTATTGATTAGCAAGTATGAAAATCATGGGACATCAGAAACATTAGCCACTTAAATGAGGTTTAAATGCTTCAGTGAAACACGATAGAAATAAGCAGAGTTTTGGATGTGTTTTGGAGAGAATAATGTAATGAAGGAGAATATCAATGAACTATAGCCTATAAGTTATTAAAAGTCATAAATATTGAAATATGTGTAGACAGCTATATAATACATCATAACTCAGTATGAATAATATATAAATAGAGAGATATTACAGTTAATATAAACAGATGTTAATATTGGATTCAAATTGATCTGATATACATAAATCAATGCCCAATTCAATGTGAGAAGTAGGGAGTGGGGGAAGGGAATAAAAGTTGTACACTGTTGCCAGAGGGACATGTAAGAAACCCTTTTTAAACACCATTTTAGGTTACAATGACATTTAAAGAGTTTAACAACAAGAGTTTTTTCAGCAAGATTCCAATGAAATTTCTTTGAAATATACATTTTAATGAATAAAATTCCTGTCTGAATGAAATGAATGGAATTTTACATCCTTATCTTCTACACCTAATTGGGTTTATTAACATGGGTAACGCCATGCAGTGAGCAATAAGGCAATTTTGCAGAGAGAATGATTGTCAAGATACAAAGATGTGAATCTTTTTTCAAAGCATAGACTCATAATGATTCCAATTATTTTCCCCAATTCAAAATCAACAACAACAGAATGTATATTTACCATACGATAAAAGGATTCATTACTAAATACCACTTTAAACTGAGAAAGCTAGCCATCAAGTTTGACCTATCAATCTGGCTCTTGTAGCTATTTCATAAATATTCTATCAAGTCTTACAACTACTAGCTATTTTAGAACAGAAAGCAATAGTTAACTCAGTTAAACAATTGATTTTTTCCTGTACTTGTAAATAATATCATTGCTAACTTCCAGCCGAATGTGTCGATTAATTTTATTAAATTTGTAAGGGTTGATATCATCTACATGTTCTGGCTTCCAGTTGAATTGAACCATCTGTCAGACAGGATTATTTATTACCAGAAATAGAATTAGAAGGGAATTATTTGACTCTGTTTCTACTGATTTGTGTAAACAGGTCTTTTTAACAGCATAAGCCTAAATAAATATAGCTATAGCCATCGATTACAGAAATAAAACCAAAAGACTTATTTCATCAATATCTCTAGAAACACTTTACTCACATTCAAAAAAGGTCATAACTGTCTCATATATTAGCACCTTAGACTTAATATTAGCATTATTTAACAATTATTTTTATAAACAAAATATATAGGATCTGCTCTGGATGAAGGGTCTTTACAGTACCTATTGATTAATGCTGGAATCACATGTTGGTGTTTTAATGTCCATGTTAGGACCACGCCTAGCACACTGAACCTTGAGGGTAAAAGAAAGTGAAAGTCATACATTCCACTTCTTGTTGTTGAGTTAAAGGTATATTGTGGGTGACCCCTTGAAACCTCATATAAAGATGTATGACGCGAAATTACTTTTCAAGAAAAATGCAAAGAACTATTTGTACTCGTATTTTTTAAAATCTTTTTATTAATTTTTTTTACTGCTTTATGTGGTTTTCATTCTTTGAAAATTTAAACCTCATAAAACAATTTGAGTACTCCGACCTACTCAACCAATAACTCGTATAATAGTATGTACAGTATACGAGTTTTTTCATTTTCTTCCACAGAAAAAGGAACATTGAACCTCGTATAATATAATATTTTACGAGGTTTTAAATCTGAAGGTTTATATATGTGTTATTTAATTGGTGGTTTTTGGGTTATTTACAATCAAGGTGAGGAATAAGAGGTTTTGATCACAAGATCCGCGCTTTTACGAACGGCAACAAAAGTCAAAATGACCAAATATGGCGTATATGAGGTTTCAAGCGATCACCCACGATATACTACCTCTTAGGATAACCAAAGAATGGCAATTTTTAAACTTGGGCAAATATTAATCTTTGCTTATCATTGGACTTAGCTGGTGTCAAAACTATATGACAGAATCCCTCTATAATCCAACAATTCCATAAAACTATGTTTAAGAAGGATTTTTTCAATAATTACTTAGTTTACTGGATATGTCGTGTTATAGAGAGATTCTATTCTTTAGTCATTGCACCTGGTAAGTCCAACTGATGAATATATATATACGCTTATTGACCAAGTTTGAAATTTAAAATTGTATGTCCATTCTAATCAATCTCTCACTGTACACATAAAATTCTATTGTTTTATTCTGAATGACATAATATTGTCTATGCTATTGAACATGAAATTTCAATTAGGGCAGGAAATGTCTACTTCATTCAACATTTAAACTCTTCTAAATTTCTTGCAGTTTCTTCCTCTTCCTTATTTCAATAGAAAATTTTCAAAGATTTAAAATTCTGATTCATTCAATTCATGGCAGGTTTCACTAATTTAGAAGGGAAAATCATGCATTAGTCTATCCTGTCTAATCATAGCATCTCTACATTCAAATCATTCAAGCAAAGTAGAAGAAGTCTCTAATCATTTCCTTTCATTAATTATTGAAACTACTCAATTAATCAGATTTTAAGTTAGATTGTTTAGTTTTTACAAATTTACTCTCATAACTATCTGATGACATTCTTAATGAACAGCCCTCTAAATATTTGTAGAAATAATTTTTAGCAACTTTTTTCTAGTTACATACTTTCCTGCAGTGAGCAATGAGGGAAATGTTTCAAAAACAGTTGCATTAGCTTACTTTTTTGTAATGTGGCAGGGGAATCATAGCTGTCAGTAGGGAGTTGGATTGTTGTCTGCAAAACGATTAAGTGCCATGGGTTCGAATCCTCTTCAAAGTAAGAAAAATTCTGATGCCTGTGCCAGTGCTTTCGAGAGTTGGTCTGGTGTCAGCTTTTACCCCTTTTATACCAAAAGTAGAGCAATATGACAGACTCTTTCACGTTCACTATCCCACAATTCCTTATTTTATCATAATTTGGGTTTTACATGACATGGTTTGCATGGTTTAAAAAGTTACATTAAAATGCTGAATAAAATACCAGAAAACAAAAAAGATTCGAAATTGTAATCTAATTTGAATTAGATAGTACCAGGATGAACTCTTGGAGAACATGGTGAGACTTAACTTAAGAGTGCAGATGTGTAAATGGCTAAGCCATCTGGACTCTCATAACTGTTAAATATATTGAAATTAAAAAAATCTCTACATTCATTACTATAGATACATATTATCACTCAACACAATCAGATGACATTTAAAACTGATCATTCTAGCTTCATTTCAATATCAAAGAGATTGATCAAAGTTCAGTATAGGATTTTTATTTTCATTAAATAAGCTTACAAGAGAGTAAAGTATCAGTGTTGCAGTAGGCTGAGAATACCCTGCCTAAATTTCTACACCTGTCAATGTAACAAATTTATCAATTATTGAGGCTGGTTTTCAGAAACACCAAGACTTTAATAACCTGTATCCTTTATCAAACAGTCTTCTGTTTCAGGATTTAATTAACATACAAATGATCTGAACACAAGTTGCTATTTAATAATTAATAAGATTTTCATTAAACAAGTTTAATATTTATATTCTTTGCCTTTAGGCGAGATCAATAGTAATATTAATGGATAACTTTGTAAAACATCAAATTGCAATTGACTCTACATACACAGAAGTCCTTGAATTGTATTTTGTATGTAAATGAACATGTCCTACTGTCTAATCCAATGGTAGGTGCAGGAAGACTATGCCCCATGATATACTAGTAAAGGAGAGTTTAGCCCTTTTGGTAACATGGAGTATAGATTAGTATAGTATACTATATTATTATATTATATAGTATGGCCTTAGATTGAAAGTAAAGGTGTGTATCAGTGAATTTCTGTGATATTTTTAATAAGGAAGCCTGAACTAGGCCGTATCTTTAGAATTAAGGATTTGATTAGTGTTTAGTTTGGTGCTTGTGATATAAAAGATTCATAATTAGATCTTATTGCATGTAAGTCAAAACAGATCCTATTGCTCTCCAAAAATAAACAAAATCAGTACTTACCTCATCTGTAGCTAAATTTGCTTGCATCTGTAATTCCTGCAATTCTGTTCTCATGGTATTATCTTCAGTGGGCTTTTCTGGGATCTCGGTTGTAGCCATTTTGTCTGTTTTACACTTGTATTACCTTTCTAAAATCTGTAATGACATATGAAATATCTTAATTCTAATATACCAAAGATCTATTGGTGCAGTCAAAATTATCAAACTGAAACTCTGAAAGCTGGTGCCATAGACACAGACTTCTGTGAAGTCAAATAGACCCAGCTTCCCATCACTGATCATTAGATTCTATGGAATGAAAATTTACTTTATCTCAAATAAAAATACACATCAATCCTGGATAGAACAAGTCTACTTATGAAATAGAAAGCAACTTAAGAAGCAACAATGACTTGAAATGGCTCCATCTTGACTTTTTTTCAAGATTTCTCTAAATTATGTTTAAAATCATGTGAGCTACTAGTTCACATCTTACTATTTTCATATAGGCTACTATCTCAAATGAGTTGTATCTTCAAATGAGACTTTTCAAAGTTTTGTAATAAACTATATTTAGCCTATTATAACTAATTTTTCTAAATCTAGTACTGTCTTCTCCATATTGATTTGGTCAAAATCAGAACCTGAAAGGATTGGCATGTTTTCTTGTTTAAACGTTAGATTCTATAATAAATAATACTAGATCTTTAAGTACCGGTATAATATTCTACAAATGTCTGAATTATTCAAAGAAGAATCTCAAATACCTTTTAAAGATCTATCTTAATAAGAGAACTATCTTAACTATCTGACATCTAAGCTTAGCCCCACCCCCTCAAAAAATCTGTGTTTGTTTATGTAGGATGTTTCAGTATTTCATCTCTCTAGAGCCACTACACTATTAGTTTGATTTACAGTTTGTCTAAAACAGGTATTAACAAATCCACAACATAGATAAGATATCATGTCTTCATCATCAATGAAATAATCAATACTCAAAAAAAACAACAAACACAAAATTTACCAATCAAAAATGCTGTCTGCTAAAATAATTCATTAATTTGCGTCAAAAATGTGATGATTTCTAGAAATGTATGGTGATGCACATGTCCCTTATTGTCTTGACAGAAAGATCAAAACGAAATTACCCAATTAAACAAATAAACAAAGTACATAGAGATGATCTTACTTACAAAACTGAATATTCAACTTATTAATTCGTCGGTCTTCGGAAAATATGGCCGATGTTATGACGTCATGAGGTCAACAAAATATTAATTTCCAATAAGAAATGATTATCATGTGGATTCAAATAAATCAAGTGCAATTCAGATATTATTCATAAGTACATCAGTATTATTAAATTCTAACGCATTTATCGAATTTTACAAAAAAAAATTCTCCTAAAAAATTCCCACAATGCATTCAATCATAACAAACATGGCTGACAAAGTTGCAGGGAAATTCGATTTTCTATAAAATAAGATAATCACACCATTGACATTTTAAAATTTATTGTTAAAGTATAAGCAGTGAGTGTCTGATTATATTTTCCAACATTTCAGCAACTTTCAACTTGATTTAACTTTGAATGATGGTTTTATGGAATACAATATATTCATCCTCTATTCCCATCAAAATGATGAATTAATGATAAGCCTGCATAGTCAATAAATGGCATTGATCTGTTCGGTTGTGGATTTTAGACTTTAAACAACCTACCTTCGTTTGACTACACTTGGAATTAATTCAGCGTGTTCTTCAAATCCTAGTCTAATTCGCAGATGAAAATAATGCTCACGTAATCATTGACCCTAACGATATGTTTGTAGCACAGGCATCTGTTTCAATATGATAGGTCATCTATACTTACCTGTAAAGTATAAACAAAAGTGAAAGTAAAAGCATGGTTACGGACTTTTCGATATATACTTTTCAAGTTATATTGGTGATTTCCATTCTTTAAATATATATAAGCTTAAATAATGAAAATGGCAACACAGTAATTTTACAGCATCATTTTAAAAAAGAAATATATAACATTCTGCCCTGAAACCCACCAACTGGAAGTAAATACAGTGAAACATTGGGTGTAAACTTTGTTAGTATTTTTATTGAACAATGGTTAGATTAGTATGAAGAGAAACACTGTGTGTAAAGGGAAAATATTCAATGAAACGATTCATATAAGGTTGGGATTATGTTTCATTACGGTAAATGGTAGAAAACCATCTGAAGCAGAGATAGTCGTGACAAGACAAGTGTTATCTACCTTCTTCTATGTATACTATCAAAGAGAGAGTCAACTATTGATAGAAACAGATGCCTGTGGTTTATAATAACTCTGTCTACACTGAGTAGACAAAATTTATGGTCAAATCTTGAAATTTATGTGCACTGAAATCAACAAAATTTCCACTTCATGCATAGAACAACATATCCACACTAAAGTCCATTAATTCCAACACCTAGTTTCGTTAATTTATCGTTAACTTTAAATCGATCGTCGAGTAGTGATTTGATTGGCTGTTTCAAACCATCAACGATTTGAACTACATACAATCATTAGTCGCATTTTACTATAGTTTATATATCGTCTTTGGAGCATTATGAAATAATGAAGGTTAAAGGGACCAGAAAGAGTTAAACCTTTTATTAGTAAAATCATACTGTTAGCAACGATTTACACTATTCTAATTTTCAGTCAGACTCAAACTCAAACTAGGACACTGTTGCAAAAACTGTTAACAATTCATTGGCACGGCACCTTTTGCAATATTGACATCATATACTGTTAGGTATTAATTATTTACGATTACAGTAAAAACAGAAATTTGACAGGAAATCAGAATGACGATGATATTAAAGGAATTAAAGGGATTGTAACTAGGTTTTCTTAACTTTTTTTATTTGTTTCAGGGAAGCTCATAGCATCAATTGGCACATTCCAATTTTCAGACAGACGTCTGTGGTTCTTGCAATTCAAAAATAATTTGTGCTTGATGACGTCATTAATTAATATGATTTATCACATAAGGTCCTTAGCAATTAGTGACATCATCAAACACTCAGTTGTAGTGGAATTGCAAGAACCACAGACGTCTGAAATGCGAATGGTGCAAATTGATTCCATCAGTGTCGGTAATACACATAAAAGATTTAGAAAGTCTATTTGCAATCCCTATAAAGGATATTGGATAAGAAGCAGTGCAGTATATGGAACTATGGTGATTGTGACTCAGGCCTAGGCTAGGCTGTTATTAGGTTATAATCAACTTGGCATCAAAACAAAATGGCCCCAAAAACTGTAGTCAACTGTTATGGTCAAAATGACAGTGAAAATTTTAAGCCTATATTTTTACCAATAGTCCTTTATTTCTGAGTAACAATATGTTTTTTTAGGTTCTGTTTTATATATATATACGATAGGCTATATTGGACCTATATAAGCTATATAATGAGTCTGACTCAAGTTATTATGATAAATTTCTATTATATTGCAGAGAGTCTGAGAATGTCAGACACAATAGAAGAGATGAGAAAAAAGATATAAAGATTTTTGGTTGTGAATTGTGTAAAATTTCATATAATTCAGAAAAGGTTGAAAATTTGTTTTATCTTTAATATCTGTGCATGATGAAATGATGACTGCTTCTGGTTTTCATGTTTTCTATGTGTGCTTTTTCTAGAAATTTAATTTGCTGTTCAGGTGGTCCAAATTCTATTCAATATGAAACAAAAAATTTGTGTAAAATGTATTTATGTTGCAGGGGACCTTTACTTCCTATGAAATACTAAATTTGTTTTTTCTCTTTTTCAGGATTTGAAGGAGCATTTATGGTCACTTATTCACCATGCTAAGATTGAAGACCAGAAGAGGTAGGCCTATCTATATAGTTTTTGTTAAAATATTACACTGTTATTCATTGCCCTGTCTTTATTGCATCCTTTATAATGTTTTCAATAGATTTTGTCAGCCTGCATTACTAAGAATGGAATTTAATCTTGTCCATCTTTATCAAATTAGGTCAGAATAGAATGATGCTTTTTAAACAAAGAAATTTGTTAATAAAGATGAATTTGTAATTGATAGACCAATTTGATAATAAGAAACACTAAATCATGTTTAATTAAAGTTTTTTGAAATTTCGCAAAGTGATCCTAGGTCTGAATATTTGTATCTCTGAATAAATTGTAATCAAACTTATCAAACAATTATAAATTCCCTTTTATTACTATCAGGAATTCAGCACACACCTGTTCCCTGTGTTTAAGTACCTGTAAAACTATACCTGAATATAGAAAACATCTTCTAGATAATCGACATAAAAAAGCAGTAGAGAAATTTAACATTGCTGAAGAAAATGGTGAAGCTTATGTATATAGGTATATGATTATGTTCATGTGCAACTTTAGTATAATGCTGAATGATAATGTCAATGTCAACAATAACACATCTGATTTGGAAGAACTGGAAATGCCTTCCCTTTGTCAGTGATTTCAGTTTAGTGGCATGAATAAGATGCCTTGCCTTAATTTTAATTACGTATTGATTTTATACCCACCTAAGTCTTGTGCACTACCATGATTCCAAGATAAGTACATGAGAAGGACGCAAAATATTCTTTATGAGATTTTCAATTTTTAAGTGGACGGTAAAAATACAAAATTTCATGATATGGAACAGTGGATTGTAAGTCTTGGATTTGTTTCATGTCATTTCATTTCATTTTATTTCAGTGGGAGTGAAGAAGAAGAAGAAAAGGGAGATAATCAGATTAATTCCGGTAACAGACAACAATGGTGGAATCCAAACAACCATCCAAATTATTCACCATGGATTCATCCTCCTTGGCAGAGACAGAATTTCAAAAACTTTCAACAATGGGGAAATGTACCAGGAAGGCGCTATAATGATATGAATAATGTTCGAAAGCCAGGAACGGGTAGATATATGGGAGACAACTCAGGCCAGCATCCAATGAATTTTAATAATTGGCGAGGAAGGAATGACAGACATTTCAGGAGGGAGAAATTTGATGGAATCAGACATAAGAAAGGGAAGTCAAAAGATGAAGGGTTTGAGAATCCATTTTGGCATACTGATG